GGGCCAATGGGAGAAACTGGTTTATAGCGGAGAGTGAAAATCAGCACCATTCCAACAGAAGGGCCGTAGATTGATTGAAATTGGTCTTTGGCATAGGGGACTCACACAAAATTTACGTCACAGTTGCATACTAAATTTTTCCATGTCGTATTATCACCACTTGTAGTGTTTTTTGAGGGGGCAAGGGTTATTTTCGTTCAACGTAATTGCAATATTTTTTTGTTCGTACAACGTAAATTGAAAAATAAATTCTGTAATCACAGGCTAGACGTACAACGTAATCAATCAAATATTTTTTCGTACACTGTCAAAATGTGTAATTTTTCTCGGTACGTACAAGAACTTACATCCAAATAAAAAAAGTAGTAAGTAATGATCCAGGGGAATTACATTTTCGAAACTGTAAGACTAGATGACACAATTCACTGCAAAATTCAATTTTCACTGTAAACTGTAAAAATGTCATTTTTCCTTGTAACTTGTAAAAAGCCCTTTTTATTACCCGTAAAACTGTATCAGCTACCCCCCCCCCTTGCCCCCTTCTTTTTATATCGTTTTCACTGAGCATCCGTCGCTGTATGTGTCACGCCCTCGGAGTTCAATTACAGTACACGGGAAAACGAAAGCATAACACATGTAGCGAATGAGGGAGCTCTTCAAAATAAAGCTTTCGTGGTTTTATTGCAGATTCGCAATAAACAATAAAGGTGTTTGTTGTATGAATGAAATACTATGAATATAACAACGTTTTATAGCATGTCGCCGAGTCTATCTGCATACAGGCAACTATGAAATCACTGCAAACGCACTTGAAATTTCTTTTTCCCATGATGCCTCAAATTTGGCGCCGCTGTTTATTATCACGTGACCGGGCCAAGATGGCTGCCTCTAGTTGACATTCCGAAGTTTGTCTGCAGTTTTAATCGTCCGGAATTAAATACGTGAAATATACAAAATGGTTTTGACACGTGGAAAAGCGTTCGAGATTTTAGAGTTGTCATACGGTACGTAACATAGCCTAATACATAATTTTCTGCCCGTGTCGCGTTGATCTTTCGGCGATGGTCGCATAAGTGTTGCGATGTTGACCTACGTCCGTGTTTAGACATTTGTTGTTTTTTCCTGGTTGTCCATGAATCCCCTTATCTACCTGCAGACCTTATCACTGTATGTTTATACCGGACACCAACTTAACAAACCTTCACAAAATGTGTGTTTTGTTTCACCTTCTCGATCATGATGATTGTTTTCTCACCCTACCCGCGATCACAGACGACGACACTTAGCTAAAGTCAGGTTGCTGCTGGAGTGCTGTGTTTGCATTTTTTTTTTCCCGTTTCCGGCAGATATATACACTGGAGCTAGGTATCTACACCAGCCCTTAATTACGATTACGGCTGAACATTACGTATACAGCGTGATGTGTAGAGCGATCGTCATTGATCTTGTTTCGTGAAACGAGTCAGACATCGTGTTTAAGGTTCTTGACATTATCTTGTTACAATGTACCGCGATATGTAGGTTATAAGGTCAAAGGTGAATCTATTTGTGGCAGCTTTCTTGCCGTTTGAGGTTTGTTGTAGTCAAATACAATCGTGGTTATTTTTGTTTATCCATTCGTGAGATTTTTAAACGGCGATGTAATTAAACAACCAGGAAGTTTCAAGCATGGTGCTAAAAATATTTTGTCTTGTATTTACCTGTATTTACAATTGTCTATTACGTAAGTGACAAAATAGATTGTTTCCTATTGTCTTTGTTGACACCACTGTTTACACTTTGTGTACTTTACATAAGTGTGTCTCTTTAGTTTCATAATAATGTAGAATACTTTATTTTCGCTTGGAATTTATTTTCGCTGAAGGAATGATTCTGTGAAAATAAAATCCAGCGAATATACTTTTTTTTCTATATTTCACATAAAACTCAACAAAATTCAGTGAAAATAAATTCCAAGCAAAACGCCCAAAAAGCCTTTTCAGCGAAAATTAATTCCAGCGAAAATAAAGTATTCCACAGTAGATACTGGGATATGCCATTGCCAGTTGCCTACGGTGAATTTAATTTTAGTTTGCCTGCGATAAATTGTGTAATTTTGACAACCAATGGCTAAGAGTAATTTCAAACCATGAAATATTCTGTAAAAATTGTTGTCATTTAGAAATCACGTCATCAACTCACAGAAATGTAAATTAAACAAAAGTCTCTTGCTTGATATAAAGTGATAAAATCATAATTTTTTATTGCTCTCAGTTTGCAAATTGGGCAACCCCATTTTGAAATTTGGAAGAAGAAAAATTGTAGCAGGGATCTAACCAGCCCAATGCAAGTGCTGGTAACTCATAAATATTATTGGGCTACTAATACTGTGGAATACTTTATTTTCGTTGGAATTAATTTTCGCTGAAAAGGCTTTTTGGGCGTTTTGTATGGAATTTATTTTCATAGATTTTTGATGAGTTTAATGTGAAATATACGAAAAAAAGTATATTCGCTTGATTTTTTTTTCACGGAATCATCCCTTCGGCAAAAATAGCAAAAATAAAGAATTCTACAGTAAACATGAATGAGCTTGGTTACACACTGCAAATGTTTTTTTAATCAAGTCAAAATATTATTTGTTTATTTTCAAGTATGACTGAGCATTTAACTATAAAATATATTATTGAAAAAAAAATAAAGAAAATAATCTGTTCATTTTTTTTGTGCTTAATAAATGCAGTACTGTAAAAACTCAATCAATTCGGCCATGTAAAAATAAATATTTTTGGGGGTGGGCCAATTGACTGAATAAATATAGAAAATATGTTTCCGAAGTGGTCGATTTGTTTGAATAAATTTTCAACGTTTTAAAACTGGGTTCGAAGTGTGTATCACCGGTAACTGAATAAATATATCGTTTTCCCGAGATTAGAGTAAAGGTGTAGTACTAGTCTGGGACCTCGGCAGTTGCCTTAGTAAAAAATGAATCGATTTGAGACATGGCTAGCGAGCGACAAAATAAGTACTAATAGCTTGTCGGAAAACTAACAGTGAGTGTCTTCCCCAGAGAAATCGCCACTTTTATAGGATGATACTCTGACCAGCCACAACATTATCACATATTCTTTTGAAATTAAAGGATGTACATCAGTCAGTACTCAGTGTGACGTACAATGTCGAAATGATAGGCCCAGGATTCACACCTCACGTCGTCTCGTCTGCCACTTTACCGTAACCACGCACCGCTACTGAAACCGCTTCTATGAGAGCGCAGTCTTCACCTCACGGTCATGTTTTTTTACCCACAGTTAAAACAAAACAAAAAATCCACCCGACTTTTAAACGAACAACGTTGCAAGATGAAGTTTAGAACATAACTGGGACGACTGTGTCGAAACAATCCAGCCGGTGATTTTATTTGGGTCAACCAAAAAAAAAGAAGATATTTTGGCGTGACTGTGTAAACAAAACCATGTTCAATAAAAATGACGCTTTCACGCTACACATTGGCGACTTTGTATCGACTTACTGGAAATGCCGAAGACGATACAATTTGCAAGTCGGCATTAATTAATTTTTTACCCCGTTAACATTAATAATCTACTTGACTTTTAAACAAACAACTCTGCAGGACAATGTTTCGAACATTACTGAAACGACTGTGCTGAAACAATCCAGCAGATAATTTTATTTGGGTCAACCGAAAAAAAGAAGATATTTTGACATGCTG